GGTAGTGAAAAACCGAAGTCGGCAGTTTCGCTGCGAATTCGTAACACGCTTCGATTGAGCTTATAGACGGGGAAAACAGATAATAACTGAGGACACAATTCCACATTCATTCTCTGTTTTTCACCCAAAACAGGGTGAAAAGAAGAGAAATTGTAATAGAGGTGTAAATAACAGTTCTGAGGAGCCCATCCGCTGCGGAATTAGTGCGAAAATCGAATGAGCCCATGAACTAAGGAACTGGTCAGGGTTTGAGAGTGCAGCGGCCATTCTGCTGACTGCTAATCAAAAGCCGTGACTTGCTGATCATTCATGTACCAGCATCGGGTATTTGGGGATAAGGCAGAAAGTCTAGAGAGGGGGTTCGCTTGTAATTCGAAGTGCAAAGAGATTGAGCCTACAAGCAGGGGAAAATGTGGAGAATTGAGCCTAGAGCAAGTGTCCTAGTGAAAAATCAACAGAAAAATGGAAAATCACCCCCACATTGGATTTAAATGTGCGGTGGGGGATTCGGAGAAGACCACTGTCGTGTGCGCATTTTCAATCCCCATTGAATGAGCCAACTCCCAAGCCGAACGGTGTGGAGGGGTCGTATGGCCGACGTGTGGAAATCCAGTCACACATTGGTTTTGACTTTACAGTACCATGCCCCTATTTTACATTACCACATTTGTTTGTAACGTAAATAGTGCCACATCATCACCTTTCTACCGAAAACCACCATCTTAGTGACCAGTGTAGGGCTCCACGCCCAGGAGGAATTCGGTGTCCCTCCGTCCTCAGTCTTCTGAAGTCACCAGTGGGCAGTCTAGCCACCCAATCCCCCAAATTCGCACCTCACGACCTCATCTTCTCTTGACGGCATTTTTCGACATTCTTACTCTGATTTTCCGCCACTTTCGTACTCTATGGCTCGGGGCCAATTCTCTTATTTATTCCAATCATCCACTCGACCGCTACTCGGATCACCGACCCATTTCCGGGACCTACGCACCGGGCGTTCTCCTCTTCTTCAGTGGTGACCACCGCAGGGGGGAGGTCTTTCTAGAAGGATCTTTTGGGTATTCCACGTGGTCCGTTGTCCCAGCTCTTCTTTTCTCATTCGTCATTCGTCCCAGAAAGGGGAAGGTGAAGGCGAGCACGCCTTTGCCTAGTCGTGGTTCTCGGGTGGAGGCTTTGAACACATCGCGCATTCCTCCTGGCGCCGCTCTGTCTGCCAGACCGGAGATGCCGAGCGCGGGGTCTTTTCTGGGTGCAGGGGCATCCTCCGCGGGACCTAGCACGACCAATGAAGGCACGTCGTTCGCCGAAGGCGGAACGTCTTCCTCCCAGAAAGAGGGCGCCTTCGACGTCGACGCCTGGCACGAGGCACATAACCCATTCGCCCAGCCTCCGTTTCAACAAGACATTGTCCTCAACGCGAACGGGACGAGGGCAGTCGTCTCGCATGGGTGGCAGCTCGATCCAGTGAACCCGCGTTTCCTCGCGCGTCTCGCCCCTTACAGTGTCCTTGGTTCCCAAATGCCTTCCTGGGCGGTCGTTTCTTGGGCCAAGGTAAGCCTCTTCACTTTGGTTCCTTCTGAATCGGATAACAGAACCATTGTTTTCGTTTACCAGGGGTGCGTCGACTGCCACAAGAACGGGGCGCCTGTGTTCGTCTCGTCTTGTCGGGCACGCCGCCTGTCACGAGTTGCCAGCGGTGCCGCGTGAAAAACAGGACCTGCGTCGTGTCGACCTCTGGATTCAATTTCATGGTGACTGGTAAGCACCCCATGTCCCCCATAGCTTTGATATTGACTCCGCCCTCGGGCTTCCTCCAAGACCACGTTATTTTGGTTATGAACGCCGAGCTCATCGACCTGTACACCGACGCAATACTTTCGGTGTTCACTCCGCTGACAGGGGTCAACGTGGCGTCCCGAATCATGTCCCGCTGAAACGGTGCACTTCTTATATGACTAGGAATAGCTAATTGATAGGTATTGCGAACAAACACCCAAAACAACCAACCACAACCAATCTACCTCCAAAGATCCAAGTGCTTCTCATTGTGAGTTCGGGTCCGGGCCGTAGTATGCGACCAGCAGGGCTTGAACAAACACAAGTTTGATTTATAGGCTTCTAACAACACACTCTACAACGTACTAGCAATATGCAACCGCCAACAACAACACTGCTAGGAACCTAGGGATGGTCCGGGGGGGGTGTGTTTTATATGGGGGGTGGATACAAGGTGGCTGGACGGTTAGGTCGAGAACACCAGGGCAGAGTATGTAGGTTTGTGAAAATCCTCGCTAAGGGCGCACCCGAAGACTACTGAGGCTAACAACAAGGGACTTCAATCCTCAAACGGCAAGGCAAGTTGGGGGTGTCCCAGAAGAGTCCTTGTACCGTCGACCTATTCCTTAACCAAGAACAGGAACCTTTCCGCTTTTATCGGCACTAGCTCACTACAAGCGTCCAGCTAGCGACCCCAACACACTACGACAGAGCTTACGTCTATATCGGGGTGAAGGCGAAGTAACTGACAAGTTATAGCCAAACTAGAGGTGGGGGCACCTAGTCCGTCTTCTTCTTAGTGGGCTCAAGCCAACACACAATCCACCTAGCAAGTGATCCAACACACTACGGCAGAGCTTCCGTCTTGTCGGGGTGAAGGCAAGTCACTAGCGCAAACTGCAGCTGGGTCTCGAAGAGAACACCCTTATTTTATATGTGGAGGTCTAGGACCAACAACACGAAACCCTCAACTTAGTCACTCGATGTTTCCAGAGTCCACAGTCTACTGATTCCAATATAAAGACTACTACAAGTGAAGTTCGGTATCAACCTCCACTAGCAGCCTGAGAGCACCAGCACCAGCTTCGTCCAAAGTCCTGGGGCGTAATGTTCTTAGACCCTAGTCTGCTCTGCGCTCCCTTTTATACTACTAGGTTCCAGATACATGTGAAAAGCGAGCTGAATAATACAATAAGCAATATTAGATAAAGAGAAATACGGTCAGCCAATGAGACGACTGCCGTTTGGTTTGGGACAGGTTTGGTATACGCCAGGTCAGCCTCGCTGACCGGCTAGTGTTCAACCGTGGGTATATCAACTGATCCTCAGCCCTCCGTCTATGCCGAGCACCACTTTCGGACCAACCGGCGAAGTAACCGGTGGTCTAGGTCATCTCTACTCTGTCAGAGCGTCGATCTATTACATCTAGGCGACGCAGCGTTGCGACCGACATCAAATGGTCATAGATCGTTTGTCAGGACGTCGATCAACTCTCCGGTCATCGGTACAGGCTGTACGATCGTCCCTAGCTCCGTTCCAATAGCCTGCTTGCTATTCCGTTCGTCCTAGCTGCCCAGATCGGGCCCTAGTCCCGTGTTGTCTCATCTCTGGTGCCGTGTTATGTCTTTGTCAAAGCCCTAGCCGGTCGCTAGTTCATTCCGCCTATCGCCTTCCTAGTTGCTTATCTAGAGATTGGATAGTACCACCGGATCTCGCACCGAGCTTCCTAGCTCAAGGCGCGGCCCCTAGTTGCACCTCCATCGTAGATATCCGTCTGCTAGATCATCGCTAGCTCCCTCGCAAGCCATCTCTGGACTACTAGAGTCTCCTAGGTCATGTCTCATGAATGTATAGGCGGTGGGTTTAATCCCTGGTTGTTTGTACACTCGACTAGCAGCTAGCGCGTCACACTAGTGTAGCCTCGTGCTACAGTCAGCAGTTAGGGCTCGCTCTGACTCTCCTTTATATCACCTAACAAGTGGTCTGTGTACTAGCTAGGATGCTAGTAACGACAGAAGTGCTAGTTGCTTCCCGTTGTATAAATACTGGTCATAGGAAATCGCAAAAATAGCCCTAGATGCCGCGCATTTATGTTACGCCGTTTCACCGCGCGATAGTCCATCGTCAAGACGCAAGGCTTCGGGAGGGGCGCGTGCCCCGCGCAGATCCGCCAACGTTGAGGTGCCCCTTGAGCGCCGTGTCGACATCCTCGCTCGTCCTGGGGCCGGACACCAAGAGTTCCTCGAGCGGTCTTTCGTCCCGTTCCAAGGCGCGCAGTACGGCGACTGTCGACATCGGCTCCCGCTCCCTGACCGCCAGAGCCCGATCGACGCCACAACGTACCTGGCGCACATGCTTGAAGACGTCGTGGACCGGATTTCCGCGGGTGCTCAGCGCATGGGCGGCTCGTTCGGACAACGAATTTCGCAAGCCTTTTTTCCCAAACGGCGAGTCGTGGTTCCGGAGGACTTCGAGGTAGGGGATCGTCTGCTTGATTTCGGGGGCTTCCTTGCTGCTGGGGAGGTCCAGCAGCCTCCGCTGCACCCACCGATCCTGCCGTCCGACGCCGAGTTGTCCGAGTTTCCTTCAACGTACCACTTCGGGAGCGAAGCGCGCGCTCGTTTTGAGCAGGAGTATCAGGGAAGCATTGCCCACCGACACGCCGATGGAAGGGTCACCAGCCACTAGATCCAGTAGGCCTTTTCAAAAAAGCCATGCTAAGTACTGTAGCGGCTTTTTGTAAAAAGACCATGGTATCTCTCAAATAGCCCCAAAAGGATAAATAAAAGAAAGTCCATAGCGGGGATTGAACCAAAAATCTTTGCATGATGGCCATCATTCTAGCCATGCCATTAACCACTACACTATCAAAGCTATAATAATCTACTAGCCACATTAATCTATAGTCAATATGGAAATTCAGAATAAGCCTTGCACCATCCCTGTAGGGCCCGCATAGGGCCTGGTTAGGGGTTAGGGGTTAGAGTTAGGGGTTAGTGCCTTTGCCTTCAGGTGTATTTATTATTTTTGGTTAGAGGTTAGGGTTGGTTAGGGTTGGTTAGTGTTAGTTAGGGTTAGGAGATATTATGAAACACATATTAAATAGTGACAAACAATATTCAAAGACCTAGGGCAGCTTGCCTGCCCTAGGTCTGGGTATTAGCAGTCCCAGGTAGGGTAAGTCTAGGCTTACCCTAGCTGGGGTAGCTTCCTGGCCCAATATCACTTGCTTGGTGTAGTGGTAACATGCTGGATATAATATTATCCAGTGGTCACCTGTTCAAATCTTGTTTTGGGCATTTTTCCTGCTTTAATTCCTTTTTTTTTAAACACTTAGCATGGGACATTTAAAAGTGTACTTTGAGAGATACCATGGTTTTTACAAAAAGCCCGTACAGTACTTAGCATGGTCTTTTTGAAAAGGTTTACCATACCAGCTGCACCGGCCCCCTTGTCGCGGGAGGTTTCGATACCTCGGAGGAAGACTCCGCTCACGAGGACGACTCCGCTCGTGAGGATGACTCTGCTGGCGAGGCGCCCCCTTGGCCCCGTATGTCTTTTTTTTAACAAGGATTCGTACCCAGATTTCTGATGTTTCACATCCAGCGGCTAGGTGCGGGAGGGTCCGTGGTAGCCTTCCTCCCATCGACGAGGAATCGCGCAACATGATGCCTCCCTTGACTTCCGCAGCATTCACGTTGGTCCCAGCCACGCCCTCCAATTCCTCGCAGACATCGTTCGCTAGTGTCGGCAGCGCGGAACCTTTGGCGGCCCTCGATTCGATGCCACGTCGTTCGATACGACACCCACCCCGCAAGCCAGTGGGTCCGCCCTCGTTGGTTCGTCGGTCCGACGCATTTCCGCGTTGGAAATGACGCCCCTCACTCCGTCGTCGGCGAGAAGAGTCAGCTCCTGCAGGATCTCGCTCCCGCCGCAGATCGTCACCAACCGCAAGTCTTGCTGCCTCCGTCGCCAGTCCGCACAGCGTCAGTTGGTGCGGCGGACGAGGTGTCTTTCGACGAGTTCGAGACGAGCGAGGCGTGCTGCGTGAATGGCGCGTCGGTGGGTTCGGTTGAGTCAGGAGGCGCGGTCGCGGGTTCGTCGGTGCGGCTTGAAGCCGAAGACGTGGATATGGACTAGGGGCGAAGGGCGCCCTTTTTCAAAACAAACAATTGCTGGATACTATGTCCGAGGGAGCCGTCCCTCAAAATTTCGTTGCGCGGTGCTTCCGAACTCCCCAGTGGCGGCTGGGTCGAGGAGGATTTCATAAAACCCGCCCTATTTCGTTTTCATCGGCCGCGCTGAGGCCTGGACTTTGTTTGCTCGTTGACTCGTTTTTCCCTTCGCGCGCTTTTCCTTCCAAATCCTCCCCACTTCTCTGGACTTCGCGCTGTTCATATGTCGTAGCACCTTGTATTGTTTTTCGTGTACCGCTGTGCCTGCCCCTTTGAGGGCCCAAAATGCATGTACCCGCCCCCTAGGGGCTGAATAAATCAATTTCGACTTCGCTTGAATTATTTGTGGGTTTTCTCGAGAGTTCGTGCAACGGCTGGACTTCCTAATTAGGAAGGTGAGTTTAGAGACGACCGCGATCCCTGATTCGGGCCGATAGTCCGTGATCCGTTAATTTTGTTAAGACAATGTTTGTAGTTGAGGTATACGTCGTCGTTTTCGGTTCCTGTTAGGCGTAGTGACGGTGCTACGTTTGAGTCGTGTGGATTGAGTGTCGTTTTCGGAGTGAGAGACCGATCGTCTCTTGTCGTAATTTTCGTGGTTTTCGGATCTCTTGTTGAAAATAGATAGTATTTGAGAGAGATCAAGTCGGATTACATGTCTTGTACGGAAAAGGAAGTCCGTTGCTTCTTTCGTCTCCTTTCTAATTTCCCGGAGTGGTTCGGAGTGTCCCTCAAAATCGCGAGGCCCATTGTCACCCCATTTCGGTTCCTTTCTTTCTCTGGCGTGGGGGTTTTGGTTCGATAATTTACTGACTGGTGTCCGAATTTTCGAGCGCGCATGGTAAGGGATCAGGCGGAAGGCTGCCGTCAGTGCCTTTCAAGACTGCGCCATCCAATTCCGCAATGATGTAGGAGCTGTCCAATGTTCATTCCACAAACGACCATTGGTCCGGAGTAGCGCGGTTTCGCTTTCTGAGACCACTCGTTCTCGATCACTGAGTTTCGGAGGAGGATGAGGGAGCCGGGTTTGAAGTCGAAGTCCTCGATCTTTTTCCCGTTGTCCTTTCCTCCCACTGCCGGATCCCTTTAACGCGTGCTTCGTAGACCTTGCTCTTGAGCTCAGTGAGCTCTTCTGGTCGTTTCATCAGCTGCTTCGCTCGCATTGCCACCAGTTCTTCTGTGGATAGTCGTTCTCCGGTGATCCGAGTCATGTAGGTCGCTTCTGCGATGTTGAAGGGGAATAGCAGTTCGACTCGTGCGCGAAGATAGTAGGGGGAGTATCCGGTGGACTTCTGGGATGGAAACTCTCCTCCGCCCAGGACACTAAAATACGTGCTCGGTCCAGAGTTGGAGGGTCTCCTTCGCACGCTTTGGAAATAGCCTCACGAACGTCGTATTGCGACGCTCGACGATGCTGTTCGCGCGAGAATTGTATCCGGAAACCTTATATGGTTAATCCGTATCTCTTGGAGAGCCATTCGATCGCCTTAACCCAGCGGACCCGTTGTCCGTAACGATTTCCACAACCGCGCCCCAACGGCACAAGACTTCTTCAAACACAAAGTTCCCGAGTGCTGCCGCTGTTTCGTTCATGAACATCCTCCACTCCAGCCTCCGGAAATGGAGCAGCGTCCCTGCGCAAGATATCGGTAGCCGTTGGAGGAAGGGAGAAGCATGGTATCTGCGGGAATTTATGGAACAACGGCAAGGGAAACCGCAACCGTCGGAGGTATGTTGAACTTCCATGAAAAGGGGGAGCTGGCACTCGTAGCATGTTTTGAGGATACCATTTCCAGATCCTTGTCCAAAAAATGGCACCAAAATCGGTTGAGGAGCCTTCGTCTACAAATGTAGAATCCCTTGTGGCCGAGTTCGTCGTGACCTGTTTAGGATAGCGGCACGTTTTCTTGTGGGAGAACTAGCTGGTGCTTGTTCTGGGGGTTTCCCTTCTCCACAATGCTTCCTCCATCATGAAGTACTGGCAGGCCTTTCGAACAAATCGTTCGAAATTCGGTTTGAGGACAGATCGTCTGGTCGAAACCTTGTCGCCAAGGAATGCTCGGATCCGGTCCAACTCCAGTGTCTTGCTTGTCCTGTTTGTCGCTTCTGGGGATCTCGTAGATCTGATCATCGATCATGTTAACGAAGACGCTAACCGGCGGCTGGTGTCTCGCTTTCTTCGACCGGAGATGATTCGTCCCGACCATCCGGCTAACCGAACTCCAGCTATTTGTATTCGTGCTGCCGGGATCGTCTCGAGAAGGGATGTCCGGGGCGTTCTCTGCCAGTTCATGACGTGAACCGCGAATCTGCACGTGCGGTCGATCCATTCCTCGACCATCATCGTCCTCCTCTGGATCCTCGGGGGCTGGTTTCCGTCTAGACAACCCATCCAGTACAGCGTGTCGTTTTCCTGAGTGTGCTCGAGCTCGAAATCGAAGAGGAGAATAGCGGCTATCCAACGGTTGATCGTTGCATTGGGCTGGATATCGGGGTTGTTCAACATCCCTTTTATGTACTTGGCGTCGACCTGGACCAGTAGTTTCTTTATCCCGACAAGGTACATTCGGTACACTTTTAGCGCCCTGAACAGGCTGTATAGCTCGAGTTTCGCTTGTGAGTAGCGTGATTCTCGTTCGTTCCATGTGGTCGATCCGAATCTCGAGGGATATTCTTTCCCGTCTTCTCCCAGCTGGAGCAGAACGTATCCAGCTCCTCTGAAGGAGGAGTCGACGTCCATGATGCACTGCCTTCCGGACGCGTAGTCGATTTGTCACAGTGCTGGGGAATTTATGAGAAGGAGTTTCAGCGCGTCTTGCGCCGCTATCTCATCCTCGAGGAACTGGAACGGGGCGTCTTTCCGTAGCAGCCTGGTAAGCGGAATGGAGATGTCGGCAAAATCTTTCATGAAGATCCGCATGAGACCGAGCGTCCCTAGGAAGGCCCTGACATCTGTCAGGTCTTCGCATGGAGGCCAGTCGCGGATCTTCTGAACCTTGCTCTCGTCCGGAGTCCTGCCTTCGTAGCTGCAAACGTGTTCGACGACCTTTATCCTGGGGACTGCGAAGAAGGATTTCTTCACATTGAAGGTTCCTCCAGCGTGCCGGATGCGTTATAGGATTCGGTTTATCGTCTCCACGTGTTCCCAGATGAACCGTCGTATTCCCTTATTTTCGGGGATGGTTTCGTAGGAGCCATCAGGCAGGAGATATAACGTCTCTGGTCTTTCACGGGTGTGTCGTCCACGAACGGCTGCGTATATTTCGGGATCTCGTCCTGGAGGATGAAATTCACATCTCCTTGTTGGATCTGAACCGAGTTCGTATACCCTTGCAGCAGCTGGGTGAGACGAAGCGTCCCGAAAGGCCCTTGGAACGTGGTGAGTCCCGCGACGCGATATCCAGGAGTCGATGATCAATCCGACCAAAAGGTCGAACATCCCATACACCGCTCTCCGTCCGAACGGACCGGTGTAAACTTCGACGATTGGCGGGCATCCTGCATCTTTTATGACCACTCCATTTAGCGGCTGGAGATTGTGGACGAGTCTAAGCGAGCCGTGGATTTTTGGTACCACGAACCAGGTTCGTTCGATAGGATGAGCTCGATGGTTCGTAGACCCCGGTCTTCATCTTTCCCCCGGATTATCTCCACAACCTCGTCCCGGATCCCTGGAGGTATCGATATGTTCCACTCCTGCCAAGGAGTGTGGGCAAGCACCGGAATTTTCATCACCGTTCGAAGTAGTCTTCTTGGAAATGCCCTCTTTCGG